CCCCCCCCGGATCTCGACTGCACGTAACTATGGGTGCCATTGGTTGCCGGCAGGCCTCGCTCGCGGCTGCCGGAGGGCGGCGTGGGTCGGGGACGACGGATGCGGCGTCTAGCGACAGCCGACCAATGTTCGATAAGAAAATGCGGAAGCCGTCGATGAGGTATACAGCAGTCAGCGCCCGCGTTTAAGAAACGTCCATTGGGGGGTCGAGGCTCAAGTCTTTTTTAGTAGCCACCTTGAGCATAGGTCATATTTCGAGTTTAGGGTGGAATGCATGGCGGAGGTTTGTCTCTTATTCGATTTTTATTGGTCACAGTCGACCCCGCTTTGAGGACGATCGCGTTAAGGAAACTCCCCGCTTAAAGGAAACTTGTTTAGCTGAGCACCGGGGGCCCGGCAGAAGGTACGATAATGGGATACCCCCATTTTTCTGCCGCTACCCCCCTCTTTTTCTGTCCTGCGGGCCTGCGGGCCGCTCGTTGAACGAACCACGCACCACAGTGAGTGCAGAAGTAGCGACGCACAGACAGCAGAAGTAGCGAGCGGTCTGTTGCTGCAGCTGTAACAGGGTGTTGGTATGGATAGATTCCTCCCATCTACCGGTGGTCCATCTGATGCCGCCAAAAAAAGAGTCGTGCATAACCTCGTCCCTCACCGAGGCCGAGGTTATCTCTCGCTTGGAGGACGTTCGATCCTAAAGATAGCGCCCGTAGTTAAGGAACGTCAAAATCGGTTCGAGCCTCACCAATCCCTTCTTTTGGGTTGAAGTACCGGCCCAAGTCGTCCATTTCGTAAATGGCATTTCTTCTTCCTTTGGACTGACTGTCGCATCCTCCCGATTCTCTTGAAAGACTATGACAAGTACTTGGTATTTTCTTTATTCTGTATTTCGATCTCTGAGGACAATCCACATCATCAAGCCCTCAAGAGAGGTGGAGAGTGCCATCAAACCCGTACAACAGCGGAGAGCGTATGGTTGTCCGCGATGTGTGGCAGTACTACAGCAGTACACCACTTACTGTGAACAGCAGGGGCGCGGGGGGGGGGGGGGGGGGGGGGGGGGGGNCGAGCGGTCTGTTGCTGCAGCTGTAACAGGGTGTTGGTATGGATAGATTCCTCCCATCTACCGGTGGTCCATCTGATGCCGCCAAAAAAAGAGTCGTGCATAACCTCGTCCCTCACCGAGGCCGAGGTTATCTCTCGCTTGGAGGACGTTCGATCCTAAAGATAGCGCCCGTAGTTAAGGAACGTCAAAATCGGTTCGAGCCTCACCAATCCCTTCTTTTGGGTTGAAGTACCGGCCCAAGTCGTCCATTTCGTAAATGGCATTTCTTCTTCCTTTGGACTG